GCGATCGTTCCGCTCGCCTGCCCTTCCCCCTACAATGTCAGAAAATACTGGGGGGGGGAGGGAACAGAGTAGACAGTAGGGAGTTCCTTCCTGCCCCCAACCCCCCCCTCCCCCAGCAGAGGCAGAAGGGAGGGGAGAGTTAGGGAGTAACCATGCTCCACACTTCCACCTCTGGGTGGTGTTGCAACCTGTGGGGTTAACGCAGGGTGGGGGGAGTGAGGGAGAACCTGCCTGGGGAGTGGGGCAGAGGCCCACAGACTGAGCGGCAGAGAACGGCTTTCCCAACAGGCAGGCAGGCAGGCAAGCAGGATCTGTGTCCTGAAATGATCTCCCTGGTTGCAACAGGCTGCAGTTGCCAAGGATACGGGACCCGCGCTCCCCCCTCCTCCCACTATTCCCTCCCCAAGCTCTGGGGGGGGAGAAGGGAAGCGGCTGCTCACCCTGACCTCCCTCCCTTTCTTCCTTCCTCCGCAGCGGGGGCCTTGCAGCCTCCACCGCCAGCCACGGGCCCCCTTGTAGGCGAAGAAGAGGTGGTGGCCCCCACGCAAGCCGAGCAGGGGGCAGCAGAGCCTAACGGACACCTCCCCAGGATCCCACGCGCCACCCTGGAGCAGGCCATCGGGGCCCGCCTTCGCCTAATGGGAGACCAGTTCCAGCAGGACTACGAGCAAAGGGTGAGTTGAGTGCTCACCCCGCCAGAAGAGAGAGAGAGAGAGAGAGAGAGAAAGCAGGGAGCCAGGTTCATTCGTCGTCTCTCTGGTTTGCGAGAGAAGGATGATGCTTTGGCAGCAGCCGTTTGCTCAAGGGTGGGGGGCGGCTGCTTCCTAGGGGGAGCCTGTCTGGATGAGGCCTCCCTCCCCCTCCCCTCAAGCCTGGACCCTCAAGTCCTCCCTGAGGAAACCCCCCAACCTCTCCCTTCACTTCTTCCTCCAAGCCCACAAAGACCCCGGCGGGCGCCTCCCCCTCTGCCTTGTTTGCTCAGGGATCTGGGCAGGGCCCAGCCGCTGACTCATGGCCTATAAATAGCCTCGGGATATAAGGCGCAGGCAGGGCACAGCCAGGAGCCGGCGGGCGCGGGAGGCAGGCAGGCAGAGGAGGGCGGCCGAGGCTCCGGATGCCGCAGGTTGAACAGCTGGCCAGCCCACCGCCATGGTGGTGGGGGCGGACATGGGGGGGGGACTCCACCCGCACTGCTCCTCCGGTTCTCACTCCCATCTCCCCTCCCTTCCTCTTTCCCCCAGGAGCACAGGCCGCAGAGGGGTGCCCTCTGGGGCCATTTCTACCACTTGGTCTTCCAGCTGCTGGGCGTCCTCTACAACCTGCCGGCAAGAGGGTAGCAGCGGCGCCGTGTCAGTGGAGGCCCTGGAATTCTCCTGCTGGCCAGGATGAAAAACAGCCCCTCTGGACTGGAGAAGAAACCACGCCCCGGGAAGGAAAAGTGCCCGGGAGGGGGGGGCAGGATCGCCCTTGGGGTGTGTGGGTGCGCGTGAGTGTGGGTGATGTGGCCCCCTGCCTGGCAGTGCCTTACGGAGAGCTGCTCATAGGTGTGGGCGTGGGGCAAGTTAGCACTATGTGAATACTGTTAATTGAGCCTGTACAGAAGGGATTTTGGGGTGCAGGGGGGGAGAGGGGGAAAATTGCACACGGGACCTGTTGCGCCACTATAAATAGGGGTCGGCCCGGGCCTTGTACAGAGGGGAAAGCTGTACAGCTGCTGCTGTATGTATATAGAAATACGGGTTCTTTGTTCTTGTACAGAAGAGGGCTTGGTGCTGCCTGTATATACTTGACGGGGTGGGTTGCCTGGACCTGGGGGTGGGGTGTGTGTGGGGGGGAGAAGACCTTTTTTATGTTTCCTTTTCAATAAAAACTGGACTAAGTCTGAAACTGCATGTCTGAGGTGTTTCTGTGCCCTCCTGCCCCCAAGCCAGCAGAGGGGCTGATCAAGACACTCCAGTTCACTTTGTTTAGTTTTCTCCACCGCAATCAAGCCCTTGGCTTCTTGACAGGGTTCAAGGCGGCCAGGTCAGTGGCCCAGATCGAAGTGTGACCCTCTCAGGTGCCCCCAGTCCAAGGAAACCCAGACAGAACCAAGAGCCCTAAGCCTTTCTGGGGTTTCCTCCTGCAACAGGAGGGCAGCTAAATCCCTCCCTCTGGGGTGGCAGCTGCAGCAATCAACCAAAGAGAGGGGGGGGATCTGGAATCCTGCTCCTACAGAAACACAAAACTGGCCCCCTGCAACCCTCTTTCTCACAGTAGGACAAGAAGGACCACCACCCCCGCCCCCTTGGATGCTGAGCACTGACAGGCAGGGATGGGATCACCATCTTTCACACTGCCTTAAAGAGTCCTGGCAGGTTCTGTCCCAAAGACTCATTGCAGGAGAGGAAGATGACCTTTGTTCTTTTTTTTAAAAAGGCTTTATTCAGAGATCAAACAACAGAGGCAACAGGGTAAAGGGACGAGAAAGCGAGGCTTGGCCGCTCAACTTCTCTCCAAGCCGGCCTGGACCCGAGACCAGGTCTCCCGAGGCCACCTTTGGTGGTGTGGGGTCAGGGCACTCAGTGAGACAAAGTCTTGACAGAAGACCGTGGGACCCCTGCCGTTGCTCCAGGAGTCGGGGGGTCATGGCCCGGACTCCGAGGTGGGGGCAAGGGACTCCACTATCCCGCTACCCTTCATTCCATTGAAGAAGAAGAAGTTGTTGAGGGGAGAATCCCGCTGAGACAGGGCCTAAGAAGGGGAGGAAGAAAGAGGAGAGAGGGTGACTTGATCAGGGGTGTCCCCTTGCCCAGAGGGCAAGCACAGATCAGCCCCTTTCCTTCCCCAACGCCAGGAGGAGGAGATCTGCCAGGGCACCTGCACAGCCAACAGGCAGGCAGCGTTGCTTCTCCAGAGACTGAGACCCCCCGACCTGCCCGAAGGAATGCTCAGACCCTGGGCAGGGTCAGGGAAAGATATGAGATACAACCTGCAGCTGTGCAGCTGATAAGCAAAAGACAGTCTGCTGGAACTGAGTTTGCAGAGGGAAAAAAACTTCCATCATCCCCCCCCCCACACACCGCAATCCAGGGCTTTCCACCCAGGGCCCTTGTGCTTTGGACAAGGTGAGCCCCTCTCCCTTACCTTGACCACCTCCTGACTGAGGACGCCTCCCACGACCGCACAGACAGGGGCCATTTCGGAAAAGCAGTAGCTGAAAGAAATAAGCAAGTGGCCATCAGGCCCCAGGTATGAACTGGCTAGTGTGCCCCATGGAGGGACAGGAAAGCCACTTTTTAGGCAATGGGGCACCCCATAAGTTAAGGATGTTAGACCAAGAATCTTTATCAGGGAAACCACAGCATCCCTGGTCCAGTATGGCCAGTGCACTCTAATCCTGGCTCTGTGGTGAGCGCACGCTGTGCAGCCAGCGAGCGGGCATTCCAAGCGGGCCTTCCGGTGCAGCTTCGGCTGGGTGCCCTCAGATGCTCCAGACAGCCCTGCTAAAGATAGCTCCAAGACACTCCCCCAATGCCAGGCAGGCCCACATTCCTCTTCCCTCCCCACTGCATCCAGGCCCCCGGTGCGTGGCATGCGGTAGCATGCCAATGGAAAGGGGTGCAGAGCATAGCCAGTCCCCCCCCCCGATGGGCAAAAGGGCTCGAGTTCTCACCCTCCTCCTTTGGCTCTCCCTTCTGCAGGAGGGAGGGAGAGGCAGCAGCTGCTGACCCCCTGCCACCTAAAGCAAAGCCCTCCGTGGTCCCTAGCAGGGTGTCTGCAAGATTTAGCACAGAATAACAAAACACCCACTCTATCCAGCAACCGTTACACATGAAATATGGTGGCCAGGGGCAGGAGGAGGGGAAGACGGCTGGGTTCTTGCCAGCAGACAAGCTGCCCCCACAATGACACGGAACAGAACGACAAGCACGCGGGAGAACAGCTTGACAGGGCGAGCCGACCGAGAGCACTAGCCATGCAGAACGGCTCTCCCCGATTCTTTGGTCTTTGATCCAGACCCCCAGGGAAGAGGGGTGGGTTGTTCTTTCAGGGCCAGCTTGAGTGGGCAGGTGGGGGCTGGTGTTCTACTAAGAAAAGCAGCCCAGGACCATTTCCCTCCCAGCTCCACCGTGCCTCTCTCCCCAGAAGCCTTGGCCGCAAGTGGCACACTGCAGGCCAGACACTCAAAATGTGCTGTGGGTGTCTGAGTGAAAAGAGGGGAGAGCCCTCCAAGGGTTTCAGGATGCACTGGATGTACCTGCTACACTAGGCCAGCATGTTCCAGCTGCATGGAAGCACACTGGAATAGTGGTGTGGGTTGAAAGATTGTCTGTTTGCCTTCTCCTCCACTGACCATATGCTCTCCCCGCCCCGCCCCCCGGGGACCGAGAACCGAAGGGTCACCCACCTGGCAAAGTCATCTGGAAGCAGGTCAACGGCCACACCCAGAGACCCCAGCACTTCAGTGCGCAGCTGCAGGAGCCGCTCTGCATCTTCTGCACAATTCTGCAGGGAAGGATCACGACCCTTTTCTGTCCGGAATCTCAGCAGCACTGCAAGAAGGCAGAGGGAGAGAATGAGGCCATCAGTGCACACAGAAGTCCATTCCAAGGCTTCTGAACCGATGTGGCCTCCAAGGTCGCCTGGGGAACCTGTGTGCCCATCACCCAGTGTGTCTACTGGTACCTCTAGACTTATTTAGGGATGCTTGACAGCATCCTTAAAGGTTACAAAACTCTCCCTGTTGTGTTACCCAGGAGGCAGCCCTTGGTTGCGAGGGATAAGAACATTCTTTCCTACGTAGTTCTTCAGACAATCTTTTGTGAGCCTTCCCTTCCTGCCATGTATCAGCAAGCCTCTTTCGCCCACACATGCATGCACACACAGGGCAGCCCACTTGCTCCCAAAGAGTAGTTCACCTAGAGCTTTGCTGGTCTGATCCAACTGTGCCAGAAGGAAGTTTTCTCAAGAGGGATGGGGTTCTGCAGGGCCCATTTCTAAGCTCTGTGGTGGGTGGGTGGGTGGGGGGGGGACATAATACCAGGCAGCACCACAGAAAAGTCCCTGCCAAGCTCAGCCCCTTGGCATTGCACTACAGGGCCAGCAGCCACACCTTCTATGCTCCTAGGAAGAGGGGGATGTCTTTCCAAGAGCGGATTTCCTTCATGTGGCCATTTATAGCTCCTGAAAAAGCAGACACAGGGCTTAGCTGGAGCCTGCAAACTTGCCCTCCTGGGCACCCCTTTCGCAAGGTTACAGTTGCAGAGACAGTAGCATCCACTACCCCAGAGAAGATCCTTTATAGTCCCTTTCACAAAAGCTATCAAAGCACTTGGGGCCCCAATCCCAGCAGGGAACAGGCTCCTGCTCTTCTAACCAACAGTCCACAGAATTTGCTAAAATCCTGCAAATGGCATGAGAAGCCCCACGTGGTTTGATGCACTGAAACCAGATGATTAACCTCATTAGGGCTGCTATGTGTCTCCGGAACATTTTGCCCACGGGGACGCGGCACTTTCGTTTTGGAAGCCCTGCACTGACATTCATAGCCATCCTGATGAAGGGGAGCAGGGAGTTGTCCCTTCTGAGATTTGTAGCTTGAGCAGGAGGGAAGAACTGCTAACTGGAATAAAGAGAAGGAGGAGGATGCCCCACAGTTAACAGCTGATAGGGCATCAGCCCAGAAGACCTTGGTGTGCCCTTTACAGACAAAAGTTGTATATGTGGCATAATCTAGTTGCATGACATCAGCACTTTTGCACATGAATTAGGGCATCTTCTCTGCATTAGAAGTGGGAACCAATTCTGTCCCAGACCCCCCAAATTACAGCAAGGGACCATGTTCTTGTTGCTTAGGGACCAAGAAGCATTGCCCGTCCAGAGAAAAGGGAAGCGTTGACTGCTGCCCATTCACACCCACCCACTCACCAGAAGGAAAAGAGGAGGCTCCGTGCGCCACCAAGCAGAAGCATCTTAGAGATGAATGCCTGATCTGTTCCAGGCAGAAGGGCCCAAGCCCCTTGGCCTGCCCCAGCTGCACATATCTGGGACCCCCCTGCTTCTCCGGAGGAGCACAAGCAGCTCACATGCCTGCCAGCTGGACACAGCTCCATTGTCTGCTGTGGTCAGGAGTCATGTGATGACTGAGAAACAGTCATGTGACAAGGTGCAACCCTGCTCCCCGGCTTAGTCAGGAGAGGGGCTAGTTCCCAGCATGTGCTCTTGCCGCTTTGAATGAGACTCCTCACCTTGCAGCAGGAAGTAATCTGGGGCAGTGCGCTTAAGAGCAGCTTGAGCCTTCTCGCTGCTCCAGCTGAGAGCCAGTGCTTCTTTCAGGAGGCAGAAAGCCACACACTAGGAGAGACGAAAAAGACCTGAAGTGAATGAATGAACAAATGACAACACACAGGTTGGATCAAGATCCAGCCAAGGGCCCCCATCCCTACACAGAGAGAAAATCTCAGCAAGTAGAATAAATTTCCAAAGAAAGGTTAAGAAACTATAGTACTGATAGGGACTGTGTGACTCTCTCCATCGGTAAGAAACTATGGAATTGTCAGGATGTACCCAGAGGCCTAACAGTGTTCCTGGGCTGATCTCCGGAGGCCTTAGTCTGTGACAGGGGACCCTGGCAAGCCCATCAGCACAAGGGGCGAGTACGCAATGCTGCAGGCCCCATGCTCTCCCTTGGATGCAGTCCTTGGAGGTCTCCTCCGTTAGCACTGAACTTCACCACAAGAGACTTAGAACATATGGCATTTCAACCTGCAGCGGCTGAACAGCCTTGACAGATGAGCCCAGAAACTAGCACCCAAAACCAGGAAAAAAGTGTGTGCATGTGTGAAAGAGGCAAAGAAAACAAATCAGCTGGCGACATACGCATGAGCGTGGAGCAGAGATTAAGAACAGGGCATCCAGTGGCTAGCAACCCCCAGCCCTGCCACGGAGTTCCTAAGCTTTTTGTTTTGGCCTCACAGTTGGTCTTTCCTCCACCCCCAAAGCACCCTGAAGACATGAGTCTTTTTTCAACACAAATATACTCAACATATACAGTGTTCTGAAGGCAAGGACTCCCTTGCATAGAATTCATGCAGCCTGGACAGAAGGGCCCTTGAATAGCACCCGACTTCAGCAGGTTTTTGCTTTCCTTCATCTACACCACCAACCTATGAGCACAGCTCTGTTAAAAGAAGCTCTCCCCTTCAGCCAAGAGATGGCAACCTGCTCGGAGGGGGTCCATGGACACCCCCCCCCCAACATGCTGGCCTGTTCTGCTGCATTGTTGCAGCGTTCAGACTACCACAGATCCCTAGCTAAACACTTCGGGGACAGGGAAGCGGAGATGGCTCTGGAGGCCAAACGAAGAATGAGAAGCATCTGAGCAATGACAGCGCTGCCCTGGGCAGCTGAGAGGGGAATGAGGGCAGGCTTGCCAGTAGGCAGGAAGATAGCTCAGCTCACTGGCATTTTTTTGGACAAAGACCAGGAGCAGCTGGGCCACTAATCTGGAACTTTGGGAAAGCACGCCTATGAGAAGGAGCCGGGCAACTTCTCCACGCAAATGGGGAGCCTTTTCAGGTTGAGGCAGGGATTTCAAAGAACCAACGTCTCCACACACACCCCTACCTTTTTCACCAGGGTGGTCTCTGTGAAATCCAGCTTGGCCTTTTTTGTTTCAGGTCCATCCTCCACCCCCTGGCTGGCTTTGGCGACCTTTGTCTTCTCCCTTCAGGACAGGCAAAGAGGTTAATAACCTAAACCTCTCCCCCCACCACCCTCCAACTTGCCTGGCTTTGTGATGAACTCTTTTAGAACTTGGTTTCTTCCACCAAAGCAAAAAAGAGCAGACAGGGAGCAAGCTGGAAAGAAGTTGCTGGGTGAAAAAGGTGGCCCTTTGGCTCCCTCCAGCGGCCAGAGAGAAGAGATTTGGTGGCCTCCAAGCATCAGCTTCCAGGCCTCAAAGCCAGGAAACGTGCCCCCCAGTCCAACAAGTTCCCAAATCCAGCCTTGCTCCCCTCATCCCAGACCAACTCACTCCACAAATTCGTGCTCGCCCAAGTTGGCAAACATGTAGCCGTGGTAACCGAAGACATCGCCTGTGAAGAATTTGATATTGTTCTTCTGGCATATTTGCTCGACCTTCAGAAGGATCTCCTGGGAGCAGCACGTCAAACAGACCTGGAAGGCAAAAGCCACCCAGGCTGTGGGTCAGCTTCTTGCAGGCGGTGGAAGGTGGGATCCAAGCGAGCAACATCGCCCCCCCCCCGGGACCTCAGTGCAAACAGACACACCCCAAACCGGCCCATCGCTCTCCCTCAGTAATGGGCATGGGAGCAGGCAATCAGGAAATGAAAATTAGGGGATCCGGGGCTCTTCCAAGCCCAGAAAGCAAGAAGACCCCTAAACGTGTTTCCTGGCCTGGCTGCCGTGCAAGGCATGCCCTTTCTGGAACTCACCACATCGAAACAGGTGAAGAACTCTTCTGGCTTCTGGGCAATGTTTTCAGAGTCCGCTTTCACGTCAACCATAGGGTTGAGGTCTCGAGCTCGCTCCAGAGAAGCTTCTGCTCTGTTCTTGCCCAACGAACCAGCAGGGATCAGAAATTGTGCCTGCGTGTCTTCTGGCAAAACCTGAGCAGCAGGGAAGCAGGAACCCTTTCTCAATCGCTTTGGGGGAACCAGCGATAATCAGGGAACTCATTCAATCATAGCATCCAGGCAACAGCAACCTCTTTTAGCACATCCTCCCTGCTCAGCAGAAGGGCACAGAAGGAGAAGCCATTCCAAAACACTGTCTATTACACATCTTGATAAGACGACATGTTTCTGATGGGAATGTCTCCTGGTTTATGTTCACTGATTTTCTCTAAAGCATGCTTATCATGCCCTTTCTCTGCTGAATATGGGATGGCAGCCAGGCAACAGCAACCTCTTTTAGCACATCCTCCCTGCTCAGCAGAAGGGCACAGAAGGAGAAGCCATTCCAAAACACTGTCTATTACACATCTTGATAAGACGACATGTTTCTGATGGGAATGTCTCCTGGTTTATGTTCACTGATTTTCTCTAAAGCATGCTTATCATGCCCTTTCTCTGCTGAATATGGGATGGCAGCCAAGATTCCCATCTCACTGATTTTCTCTAAAGTGTTTTGTTTTTGTACAGCATGCTTATCATGCCTTTTCTCTGCTGAATATGGGATGGCAGCCAAGATTCCCATTCTTCTTTTATCCCCCAGAATAATCCTACAAGGGAAGGTAAATCCGAGAGCTAACTGGCCCACAGTTGCCAAGTGTGCTTTGAACTGCTGTATTTTTAAACAGTTGTTATCAACAATGTAATCTGTAACATATTGGTAAATACGTTACATATTTACTCCGCTTGTGTGTATGTATCCAAAGCCATATATAGATGTAGATACACACACACACACACACATATGGCTTTGTCATATGAAGTGTAGTAAACATTGTGTGTGTGTATGTGTGTACAAAATTCTGTCTCCAAATCCATTTTCTCCACCCTTTGCATTTCTCAAGCAGAGAAATCCATGCCTTCCATTTTTTCTGCTTTTTATAAAGTGTTTTAAATCTGTCACACAACTCTTCAAACTTTTATTTCACTTTATTATGCTTTTATTAATGTGAGTTCTTAGTGTACTTTGTTTTAGTAGCTCCTATATTTTGTTTGGTCGTTACTGTTTATTTTATTTTTTATGTTCTTGTTTAATTCTGTTTTTATTTGGTCATTATTGTTTATTTTATTTTTTATGTTATTGTTTAATTCTGTTTTTGTTAAACAACCAGAGTGGCCTTGGCAGCCAGATGGGCGGTATAAAAATTAAAAAATCAAATCAAAATCAAATAACATTTATTTGGGCCACTTCAACACATAACCATTACAGGGAAAAGGTTGCGTCATGGTGTAACCAACTCAGTCCTATTCCTTAAAGATCCCGTCCAGCTCTATAATTCTATGGCCTAACGAGGAAGGAGGAACTCTACCTATTATGAAGATTATTTTCCACTGTAATAGGTACACTTCCCCCTTCCTCACCAGGCCACAGAATTATAGACCTGGAAGGAATCTCCCGCTGGTGCAGGAAATCCACCAGTAGAGCACCCCTGACAAATGTGCACTTAACCTTTGTTTGAAAAACTGTAATAAGGGGGAGCCCAGCACCTTACATTGTAGTCCATAATGGTCATTATAAAATCTGCGTGCTTAGATTTTTCCCCCCATCTATACTATATAATAAACACTCAGAATTATAGACCTGGAAGGAATCTCCCGCTGGTGCAGGAAATCCACCAGTAGAGCACCCCTGACAAATGTGCACTTAACCTTTGTTTGAAAAACTGTAATAAGGGGGAGCCCAGCACCTTACATTGTAGTCCATAATGGTCATTATAAAATCTGCGTGCTTAGATTTTTCCCCCCATCTATACTATATAATAAACACTAAGTTGGAACAGCCAAAAGGAAGGGAAGCGCCATAATGGTCATTATAAAATCTGTGTGCTTAGATTTCCCCCCCATCTATACTATATAATAAACACTAAGTTGGAACAGCCAAAAGGAAGCAATGGGAACAGCCCCATAAGTGTGTATTTCTCTGTCCTGAGCAAGACTAATGCAGTTTTGCCCCCAAGAAAACCAGCCTTGATTCTGCTCTCAGACAAACATCTCTGGAAGCATCTCTATAAGGGAGCCCACTGCCCACCCCCCACCCCCAGCAAGCTTTCTCATATACCTTGTACTTGGCTGAGAGGTTTCTACCCCTCCCTGCTCCCACCCACTCCCTTGCTACTACTTCCCATGCCACCTATTCCACAGCCTGTTCTAAATGGGGGGGGGGGGCACATACAGAGAGAGAGAGAGAGAGAGAGAGAGAGAGAGAGAGAGAGAGAGAGAGAGAATAAAGCAGGCACCAGTGCCTTTGCCCCAGAGACCTCTCAGGTTTCCCAGTCAAGGCTGAGGGCCAGGCTGTGCATCCTAGTGCAAAGGCAAATGATCCGCGTGGTCTCTGCCAGTGTCCAGAGAGGTGTGCGAGCTGGAAGAAGATGACTTCCTCTTCTCATTAGAAAGAACACTCCGCTCCCACTGCCAGTTGTGCCAAGACTGCTGGAGTGATGGAACTGGGAGGGCCTTCCGCTGCCACATCATGTCTAGCAGAGCAACACCACCTGCGAGGTGAGAGGAGCCTGGCCCCAACTGCACACAAATGCTCCCTTCACTCTCTGTTTCGTGCCCTCCCGCCACATTCCTTTCCTTAGGGAAGCCTGAGAGGAAGGTCCCCATCATTTTCCTTTACGTACAGTGCCCAACACCACAATCCTACTGAAATACTGATAAAGGTAAGAGACTGTTGACCAAAAAAACCAACCAACCCAGAACGGGAATTTGTCCCTACTGCCACACACACATATTTAGTTACCTGATGAGTTAATATCCTATCTTAGTAACATACACAACACTCAAGGTAGCTGTTGGCAGAATATAGACCAAAAAAGATTCCCACAACCCATTGTAATTAAAGCAATAAACATATTAAATAAAAATACACCAAAGCTGTAATGGACTAATGCTGCCTTCATACACAAAGCCAAAGTGTTTTTAACTGTTAAGATTGATACATGAGGCCAGGGTTGAAATACCTGCTCAGCCATGAAAACTCACTGGTGACAAGTCATTTCCCCCTTCAGCCTTAACCTGCCTTGCAGATTGCTCTAAGGATAAAGCAGGCAGGAGGAGAACCGCATACGCTGCCTTGAGCTCACCAAAGGAAATGAGAGGGAAGTAAGAAATAGGACCCATGTCCTACCAGTTGGGGATTAAACTCTGTGCAAGGGAACCTGCTGAAGGATAACCCTTGCAACCGGAAGCCCCACAGGCCTTGTCTCTCCAGCAAAAGTAAAGGGCACTCACCTGATGATGGTCAAGCATAGTCACAGCTTTGACTCCCGCCAGAATGAGGTTCTTGGCCACCTCTGCTCCCAGGCCTTTCATGCCCACCAGCAGCACCCGCGATGCCCTGAGGCTGAAGAAGAAAAGACCAATTTTAGGGGCTCTGATCTATATATGACTACAGTTACAGCTATATAAACCCTTGGCTGTTAATGGGAGACCAGTATGCAAGAGCTGGTACGAAGAAAGAGGAGGCCCAGTGCTGGAGCCCGGCCTTTATCCAAGATCGGCAGGTTGCATCCTAGCCCAACCAATGAAGCAAGAACAACTGCTTTCCAACTCAAACCAAGATGGGTTGGAATGTGTTTTTTTAATTGCTTGCATGTCATCTTGGGAATACCAGATATGCCAAGTCAAGATGCAACCTGTAGCGGAAACAGGGCATGTGCAATTTTCAGGGATCCGCAGGATGAACAGGCCACCCTGAATCCGGGAAGCTGAACGGGGTCAGGCTTGGTGAGGATGGGATGAGATGCCAGATGGCAAAAACTGCAAAGGGAGGCAAATGTGCATCTGAGGTGTACCCCAAAGGCTGACAGGGTCTAGGACAGGGGAGGCGTTGCTATGGCCAGGAGGGTAGGGGTCAAAGAAGGGGTCAAGGGGGTCTCAGACCAAAGCCAACCCCAGCCCTCTCTCCAGGGGATCGGGCACCCCAAGCCTCCATCCTCTCCTTGAACTTGGGGAAGAAGTTCCTTTCCCCCCCCCCCAACTGCTCGCTGCCCTCCTACCATGGTTCCTCCCTCCCTCGCCCCCCCCCAGGTGAGATCCTCACCCCGTGGGTCATCATCCCACCATCACCACCAGGGGAGGGAGGAGAGGCTCCCCGGCTGCCTCACCCCCACCCCCTTCCCGAGGCGAGAGGGGGGGTCCGGAGAGTCTCCCCCCCACAAGCAGCAGCAACCACCCTCCTCCTGAGGGAAGTCAGGCCTCCTCACCCTCGCCCTTTCCCGCCAGGCGGGCTCAGCGGGCCTCCCGGGAGGGGATGCTGAGGCGACCCGGCCCCCGACGCCTCACCGTTTCTGCGCTTCCAGCCCCCAGAGGCGGATCTGGCGGTCATACTGCGCCGCCTCTTCCTCGCTGATGCCGCCGCCGCCGCCGCCGCCGCCTCGGCCGGGCTCTTCCTGGCCTTCCTTCTTCACCATGGCGAGAGGAGGACCGACCGACCGGCCAGGCTCCCGCGGCCCGAACCGACTGAGGGGCTGAGGCGCGCTTTAAATGACGGCGGCGGCGGCGGCCGGGCCTGCCCGCTCCCCGCCCACGTGACCTCCGCGCGCGCGCCTCCCTCCCTCCGCTCGTTGGCCCCGCCCTCCCTCCTTCCTTTCCCTCCC